GTAATAGGTATTAAATAATTTACTATGTTGAAAACCCGGTTTCACCGAAGCCATGTTTATTAATTAACAATTTTATAAATAACACATCGGGTCAATAAGTGTAACCTTAGAATTAATGCAAGATACTTTCTACGAAATAAAAAAAAAATTTAATCCGAAAAATATTCCTGGCATTTTTGTTAATTAATTTTGTCCCAAGTTAAGAGAAAAACATTTGGATGGACCAGGCGGAATTTTTTTTTCCAAGAAAAAATATTTTCGATTTTCCGAGAGTTACGCCCACTGACCTGAAGACCTCCTAGTCAGTAAGGGGGCGACCTCTCCATTGGCCAACATTTGGCAAAGTATTGGATAGTCCTTAATGTACATTGGCAATGATCTCCGTATGAACGTATGAAACAAATATTAGAAAATGAAACGGGTGTGTTTATTCCTTAAAACTATATATATATATATATATATATATATATATATATATATTATATATATATATATATATATATATATATATATATATATATATATATATATATATATCCTTCCGGTATGTTATAAAATATTCACTTTAATCTTAACCAGTCGAATCACGGAATACGCCGAGGAAATTATCGGAGACTACCAATGCGGATTTAGACGGAATCGTTCGACTATTGATCAAATATTTTCTTTACGGCAAATATTAGAGAAAAAATTGGAGTATAACGGTATTGTTCACCAGCTGTATATAGATTTTAAAAAGGCTTACGATTCTATTGACCGCCAGAAACTGTATAATATTCTAATCGAGCAGGGGATTCCAAAAAAACTAGTAAATCTAGTCAGGAACTTTAATGAAAGCCGGTAAAGAACTAGGACTCGAAATAAACGTGGATAAAACAAAATATATGGTTAGCTGCAAAAATGGCGATACTACTGGTGATATCGATATAGATGGTAATATGTTTGAACAGGTAGATAAATTTAGGTATCTAGGTTCTACGATAACTAGAAAAAACGAAATTGAAGAAGAGATTAAGGTTAGACTGAAGGCGGGAATGCTTGTTATTTTTCTGTGACAAAACTACTTAGTTCGCGCCTCTTGTCCCGAAACTTAAAAATTAGAATCTATAAAACAATTATCTTGCCTACATTCTTTATGGATGCGAAACTTGGCCGCTTACATTAAGGGATGAGCAGCGTCTTAAGGTTTTTGAAAATAAAGTATTGCGTAGAATATTCGGACCGAAGAAGGATGAGTTAACCGGAGAGTTCAGACGGTTACACAACGCCGAATTGCGTGAGCTGTATCCGGGTAATATAATTGAGGTAATTTCATCGCGGCGAATCAAATGGGCTTGTAAAGTTGTTGGGCTTAGTAACGAGAGAATTCCTAAAAGGTTAATATTTGCTGTGCCGAATGGTAAGCGTCCGAGGGGTAGACCGAAGCGAAGGTGGGAAGATTGCATCAAAGCCGATCTGAAGGGACTGGGTTTGGACGGCGAACGGTGGAGGGAGGTGTGTAACAAGCGATTGGTGGTGTCGGCATCGAACCTTCGGGTCCGCTAAGCCTTATTATTATTATTTATATATATATATATATATATATATATATATAAATGGTTATGTATAGTTTTACCGCAGTATTCTGAATATCTTCAGAACACCACTCCTATCCTCCTACCTGGTTTTCGATGACCTACATCGACTCTTATGCATTGTCTAGTCTTATAGTGATACAACTTTTTGCATTAATAAGAATATGCTCCATACTTTAGTATATTATATATATATACACACACACACCCTTTCTCAGTTCTTAATATTGGAGATGAATATTGAGAAAATGTATAGCAAAAAAGTTCATTTGATCCATGGGCCGATTCTGAAAGGAAAAGAAGTTAAGACCGATTTTGTGTTTTTCTTATGGTGATCAAATTTTTATTTAATCAGTAGCAATTGCTTAAAAACTGTTCAAGATAATGAAATTCTAAGTACTCAATCCAAAAGTAGACAACATTTTTTTGAGAAAAATGAAATTAAACTTACTAGTCATTGTAAACCTGTTCTCGTTTGCTAACTTTGTTTCCTCTTAATTCCTGATAACCATCCGAGGCTGGTCTAGCAAACCAGTCTTGGTCATGGCTCCCGTGATCTCCTAAGATGTAGACATATCATTAGAGTGCTACCATTGGGTAGTTACTCAGCAAGTGTTTTCATGTCATTATATCCATATGTTCAAATTTACTAGATGTATTTATTTAATACAGTTGTAAATATCATTAAGAAAAAAAAAATATGCATACTAAGGTCAATGATAAAGAAATTGAAGAGGAGATTAAGGTTAGGCAAAAGGCAGGAAATTCTTGTTATTTTTCTGTGACAAAACTTCTTAGCTCGGAACTTAAAAATTAGAATCTATAAAACCATTATCTTACATACAGTTCTTTATGTATTACGTGCCCGCTTACATTAAGTGATAAGCAACGTCCAAAGATTTTTTAATTTTGAAAATATATTTTTGAAGAGAATATTGGGCTCGAAGGAGGGTAAATTAACCGAAAAGTTCAGACGGTTACACAACGCTGAATTGCATTAACTGTATCCGGTTAATATAATTTAGGTGACTACATCGAGGCGAATCAAATGGGTTTGTAAAATTGTTGGGCTTAGTAACGAATGTATTAATACATAGTTAATATTTGCTGCACCGATTGGTAAACGTCCGAAGTATAGGCCGAAGCGAAGGTAGGAAGATTGCGTAAAGCCGATCTGAAGGAACTGGGTTTGGATAGCGAACGGTGGAGGGAAGTGCGTAGTAAGCGATTGGAGGTATCGGCATCGAACCTTCGAGTTCGCTAAGCCTCCTAATATTATTATTAAGGTTACTGATAAGTGTGACATTCAGGAAGTCTAATAAGCCTGCTGTACAGGGATATGCTGCCAGTGTATGTGTAATGTAACAGCAGTATAGATTAAATCTCCTAAATGTCCCTTTTCCCATCGACCTTAGCAAATATAAAGCCTCTTTGATCATTGACGTAAGTAAATTTAAACACTGTTTTTCACAAAAAAATAGTCTACATTACGATGGTGTATTCAAAATTTAATTATCTTGAACACTTGTTGAGCCATTTCTTCTTATTCGAAAAAATACATAATTAACTTTAGAAAAACACAAAATTGGTCATAACTCGAGTTCCACTCGGAATCGGCTCATGAATCAAATGATCTGTTTTTCGGTATATTTTTTATTAGAATCACCTCCTCCCTTCCCCTATACATATATATATATATATACTTATTTATTTTTCTTGCATGTTTTAAATATTAAATCACACAATTAACTAAAATTAAAACTAGGGATGGAAATGTATAATCCTTGTGTTAGCTAGAGGAGAAAAAACATAGTTGCTCGCAGTCTCTAACGAGTTGTTTTAATTGGAGCTGCTGAGTTTTATTTTAATCTGTTCACTTGCTGTAAAATGGAGACGATTTATTTCTGCAGTGGTTGGTGTAAAAGGCACAGAAATGTATATTAAAATAAATTATGTACATACAATGCAATGATAAGGGGAGTAATACTGATACTAACATAAAATGTAATGTTAAGTTTGTTTGCGGTGAGCAACCTTGTCAATTACAAACCTCTTAATAAAAAAAGAAATACTCCACATACCGTCGGCATTTATCTTAAAGTAACGAATGTAAAATGTTGGGCTGGGTAACATTTTATAATTAACATAGTTCCGGCGATATAACTTATTCGAAACCATTCATAACACGGACTCAGTACCTTTCATTCACAAGATCATATAATTCTTTATTTAATCATTGACAGCATCCTAGTCCTAGGAAACCACCTTAGTATAGACCAGGGGTCTCCAAACTTATTGGAGGGGAGTGCCCCAACTCTTCCCTCTCTCCCACCAAGATCGAAGGCCCATGAATCCCCCTTCTCCCAAGATATTTTATTGCTATCCTCTTCTTAAAAACAGTGCAAGCGAAAGCAGGATTTAAAAAAAATCATAGGTCATATACCATTACACTTTTAGTGGTCTGTTCAATGCTTTACTCTTGCTCTCTGGTTTAAAAGCTTTCATTTCGAAAATTTATATCCCCCCTCTAAAATTCAAAATCTTGTCAAGACGTGCCCCCCTCAAAAATGTTGATGGCGTCATGAAACCCCCTTCTAGGCATGCCTACCATATCATTACATGCCTACGTGGGCCAAATTGAAATCTCCACATAAGTCCCGCGGGCCTTTTATTCTATAAATGACACTTAAGTTGTGAAATGCACTTTCTATGAGAAAAAAATCCACGCAATAAATTAGTTACTAACCTGTTGTATAAGTTGCTATATTATATATATATATATATAATATATATATATATATATATATATATATATATATATATATATATATATATTTTAAATTTTAATATGTAATCACCGCTCCTGTTCTACCTCCACTGGTCCTTAATATCAGAAATGTGGTAGAGTGAGAGGCGCTGGGATCTCCTAGAGTCCTGGCTTTCCTTCTATTTGTATATATTTGTAGGTCACCTTTTTTCTCGATTTCGGGATTAAATTAACTAACGATCCAATTGAAAAAAACGAGTATTTACGAGTTTTTAGTACCTGAGGTAAGAGAGACATAGTTTTTCCGACCTCCAGATTTAAAACTTTCCAATTCCAAGAGTTTTCGTAAATAAAATATTTGTAGGCTAAGATGAGATGAAACTGTTTACGAAGTTTCAGTATCGAAATCTTTGATCGAAACGAACACCACAATGCTTATAGTTTCTACTCTAAATGCCTTTATAGGTTCATTTTACTTTCGATGTTACCCGCATACATGGCCAAAGATGGCTATACTATATTTTACGTATTCCATCTACCTTTTGATCATATGATCTGTACTTGAGATACTTCTGACCTTGTGTTTGGAATGTACCAATTATATTCTAACATTTTTTTTTTTTAAATTATTTTGATCTGTTTAGTTATTATATATTATATTACATAAGATACCTTGGAATCCTGAAGGCGACCTCATCAAGGGAGTCGGACGGACTAGGAGGCGGTCGCTCGAAGAGACTGGAGTTGTTGAAGTTGATGTTGGGCCTGCGCATCGGGAGGGTCCCTGCGCACCCGACCATCAGACCGGAAGACCGCTTCTTAGGCTTCATCTCCCGCCGGCGGGCGCGCACCGCGTGCAGCCGGAAGAAGAACAGCGACATACTGTCACAGAGCAGTGCCTACAGGTTAGTTAGGGTTCTGCCTCTCTCTACGGTACTGGGTTCAACAAGGTAGGGATAATGGTGTACAGGATAAGGTAGGAACTGAGATCGGTTCAGCCAAAAGATCTTGATTGATCCCCTCAGTATCTCTAGAGGATGTGACTGATAAGGAGTCAGGCATGAACCTCTTTGACAAGGCACTAAGATAGCTTCTCCCTAACACAAGTCAGGATACTCTGATATTCTTAGAGAAATCGGGTTGATGGCCCCGCCTTCATTTAAATTTAAAGATCTCGTCAAACCTCAAAGAGAAATAGTCAGAATAATCAATTTATAATATACTCCAGAAATGTTGACTATACCTAGTTCAGAAGATTTCGCACCCTATATTTGGACCTGTGGAATATTGGAAACCTCACACTGCGACAATGGAACAGAACGCTATTTATCAGAACCTATAAGACAACTTCATATGATGTCCTTGCCGTTATGTCTCGACCTCCTCTTGCGAGAATAAGTGACCAAATATTTGAATTAGAGAGAAAGCTCTACAGCACTTCCGGAAAATCTTCAAATGAGGATGGATGCCTTTAATCGATAGACGAATTGCCTCTAAAGGTAACAGATTGAGGAAATATTTCCCCATGTTACAGTTCAGACCACTAGCGGTTACAGGATTTAATTTTGGGGAGGGAAGCTTCCGCCCGAAAGGTTTTTTTTTCAGATATAAAACGATGATTGATTTGGAAAAAAGAAATAAATTAACTACCTATATGAAATGGTGCTTAAATGATTTTTGATGCCGTATTAAATGTAATTACATGAACAATAATACTTCAAGAGAAATCTTTTAAATATTTTTTCCATAAAACAACGTTATATTTTACTATTTGGGGGAGGGAGGGAGTCAACACAAAAGCTCCCCTCCTTTCCCCCAGTAGATCCATCTGTGGTTGGCTAAAGTGGCTAAAGTCAAAGTGGACCCTCCAGATTACTGGATTTCCTAATTCCGAACTAAGTATGGAGGATTTAGATACATCGATGTAGCTTATGTATGGTCATGAATTACACCCTATTTGAAGCATTAGGAGCATATTCATGTTCTCAATGAAAATGAGTTTTGTCGATTAGTAAAAGACGACAATTCCCTCGGTTCAAACAATTCATTTATGAATGTAAATCATCGGTTTGGGGCAGCCCACTTTAGGCATGAACGCAAAGAAGAAGACGAGGCCCTATAACAGGTAGCAGAAGGGGGTTTCAAAGCGCAAGTTGTGCCATCAAAATTTTTTAGGGGGGTACATTTTGACTGGATTTTATATTTTTAACAGGACACATTTTGATGGGTATATACATTTTCGGAGTGAAAAATTTCAAAACAGAAAAGTAGGAGGAAAACTTGGGACACCACAGCAAGCATAATTGTATATCATCTACGATATGTCTTATCCTATTTCTGCTTGAACTATTTGTAAGAAGAGGAGAGAGAGAAATACAATTTTAGGAGAGGAGGAGAGATGATTCAGGTGCCATTGACCCTCTGGAAGTATAATATAAAGTTGAATCAAGAAAATACAAGATCTCAGAAAAAAAATGAATGAAGTGCCGAATAAATAAGTAAAGATGGAAGAAGTTGTAACAGAGGATGCCCAGATTATTTTAGTCATACGTCATTGGATAGTGGCTGCATAAGATAGAGCAACATGGCAGTACTCACTGAGGAGATCCAGGTTCACACAGAGTTCTATTGCTGTTGAAAGTAAAGAATATGTGATACAATCAATTTAAATTAATCAAAATGAAAAAAAAAATTGGGAAAGATTACAGAAAGGCAACAACGAACAGAATATGATACTGGAATATAAATTATTAAAAAAAATGATTGGACAGTACTACTGCTTAGGGAAACTTTCAGATATTTAGCTACATGTCATCCTAAAAATTTGTGTCTTAACAGTCGATGTTAAATAACTGATAAGAGACTGATAATGAACAGTTTTAGATGAGAGTTAGGAGAAACATTAAGGAAGGAAATGAAGATAAAAAAGTAAGGAACCAATAAGGAGTATTTTTTAAAGGTAGCCTTGAACAGTAGCCTTGAACAGTAGCCTTGTAAGGTACAGACTACCTGCCTCACCTGTAATTAGGCTACACATGAACCCTAGGGGTACCTCAAAGCCATGCTTCAACAGTATTTTCCTTCCATTTGTCTGAAACGTTATAATTTATTTGTTTGTCTTTAAAAAAAAAATATAATATTTCACAGAATAGGAAATAATTCTTTCTCTGTTTTTCTTAGTTTTGTATTTCTTTTTATTGTTATAGATTTAGGAACAAAAAACTACTGTCCTCAAAATTACGATAATTGATTTATTTTTCTAAAAAACTACTACTTTAAAAGTAAATATAATTAGATAATTTTAGACTGTTTTTATAAATTCGGGATTTTTTTTACCATTTACAATATTTTTTTTGTTTTAAAACTTTATTTGAAGAGAAGCTTTCGGTGTCAGTGCACCATATTCATCTCTATAATTATAATACTCGAATTAGTATAAACTAACAGTTAATTAATAACATTAACAATATATGTATTACATAATTTTTGAAATGTCATGTAATTATTATCAAATCATGCCATAGCTTTTATAATTTTTGTCTTTTTAAAAAATATAAAGGATAAGAACAGTGTAGAGAACAGGACTCCTCTTTGTCGAATACCATCTTACTGAGTGCTGAGGATTTACTGTCAGCGCACTCTATATTATCTCAACTATTTGGCAACTAAAGTTAACCCACCTTAATTATTATTTAATTTACTATTAGTTTAGTTTCCAAATAGTTGCGATAATATAGAGGGCGCTAACAGTAAATCCTCAGGACTCAGTAAGATGGCGGTCGACAAAGAGGAGTCCTATTCTAGGAGAAAGCTAGCATTAGACGAAGAACACGAACATTGTTGTTATTCTTTATGTCTTTAAATAGACAAAACTAATAAAAAGTATGGCATGATCTGATAATAATTGCATGACATTCCAAAACTTATGTAATGTATATATTGTTAATGTTATTAATTAACTGTTAATTTATCCCAATTAGAGATGAATATGGTGCACGGACACTGAAAGCTTCTCTACAAATAAAGTTTTAAAACAAAAAAGAGATTGTCAACGGTAAAAAAATTCCTAAACTTCGAAGTAAATGTAACTAAAAAAGGAATAATAAAAAAATGTAAAGTATTATAAAGAGGAAAAAAATGTTAGAGGATTATATAGAAATTAATTCAATATATTACAAATTTTGAGAAAAAATAATTTAATTCAGATTAGTTGAATTAGCCACGTGTCCTTCATGAATTAAATGGCAATATTGATACATCGCCCTTTATCAATTAGTTTTGTGTTTAAATTAATAGTCCACTGCCACGAAAAAAGACAAATATTTGAGTTGCAATATAATTCAATTAATAAAAAACATATATAAGGTTGTTATTGCATTTCTAATGATTAAAAAAGTCCACTAGTACCTACTAGATCACTTGAAATAAAATTGTGCAAAATAGAACGAACCATATTATATGTTATAAATATGCCAAACACGAACGTTCTTGGTTTTTAAGGTCTATTTTTTAAACAATTCGAAATTTTTTCAAAAAAAATAATTTTCATCCCTCAAGATAATCTTATTTGTATATATATATATATATTATTTAGTTATTTTATTAAAATATTTAACACCATGGTAGGGCTTGCTGAATATTTAAAATAAGTTAATATTCCAACATCTATGATTAAGGGTGGCGAAAAAGGTTAATATTTATCTAGTAACACATATAAAATAAATGTGTATGAAATAGAGTGAACCTAATAATACTGTAAACTTTTCTTATTTAAAATTAATTAAAATTAATATCTGGAATCGATAAAATTTATTTAGTGTACTTAATAAAATAGTTTCTGCATCTGCCAAATTCAAAAACTTTTTTTCAGGTTTCTTTTCAAACTTTGGATTTTAAGTGCTTGTATTTATTTTTCAATTGATTTTCTTATTAGAGATATTGAGGTTCAAGTATATTTAAAAATTAACAAATGTTTTTATCAAAAAAGATTTTGCTCATCATCATAAAAAGTTAGTATATAGCTTTTTTGGTTCATTTTTTTTAATGACAAATTACTATTTTAAAAAATGTATGTAGATATATAATTTGACAAATATTTGATTTTTTCTTCATTCCATCAGATTGAACTAATGTTATTTTATTCAGTTTAATTCAATTTGTTACTTTAATTTAAATGACAACATTGATAAGTTTGATATTATAAAAAAAACATTTTCTGAAAACAAATTATTTTCTCCCTTAGGTAATATTCAGTTGTATTATTAAAATATTTAACATCATGGCAAGGCTTGCTGGATATTTAAAGTATAAAGTTATATTCCAATATTGATGGTGATTTTATAAATTCATTGGGCCAGGACAAAACGAAGAAGATTGAAAATTGGAATTTGCTATAAACTGGTTCATCTTATCCAATATAAATTCTATCGATTCCTGATATTATCCTTTCAACGAAATACATAGTTTGTTGTATTATTTATGTAGCCTCTATATCGACATGCCGATTTTTAATCAACTATTTCTACCCAAATATTAATCTATTGAACACTGAAGCGTTTCGTTATAGATTGTTTATATTATAATATTTCAAATTCAGACACTTGGAAAGAAAATACAGCTAATTTAAATTACATATAATAATTAACAATTTAAAAACAACCTTAAGGCTACAATTATAAAATTCAACAAATGTATGAATCTTTGAATAACAGACATTTACAGAAAACTGAGATTATACAGAAGTTATAAGTGTTTCGATTGCAAGTTTTCATTATACATTTCGTTATTACAAAGATCCACTATTTGCAAGATGTCTACAGATCTAATGTATTCTAGCAAACTTTGGTGGGTAGTCATATATGACATAGCTAATGTCCCCTGC